ATCCAGGATTTCCAGGTTTATGGATCTTGGGTAGCAGATAGAATACCCCTGGTCGGGGCTCTAGGGGTGTGTCTGTGTAGATTTGTTCCTGTGCTATAGCAGGCAGTTTCTTGAGCAGATGGTGTAGTTTCTTTTGGTACTCCTCAGTGGGATCGGAGGATAGTGGACTATAGAATGTGGTGTTGGAGAGTTGCCTGGCAGCCTCCTGTTCATAATCCGACCTGTTCATGATGACTACAGCACCTCCTTTGTCAGCCCCTTTGATGATAATGTCAGAGTTGTTTCTGAGGCTGTGGATGACATTGCATTCTGTACCGCTGAGGTTATGGGGCAAGTGATGCCACCGGACTTGTTGTTTTTGCAGATACAGACTAAAATGGCTAAGCCTCTGACAATAGGGAAAATGGTTTGTTCAATCCCTAGGCCAACAATTTCAACATTGGGTGCCTAAAGTTAGGTGATTAAATATGGATGGATTTTTTCAAAATCTCAGGGGTTTCCATTTGGTGTTTTGGGCAGAGGTTCTGATCAGTTATTATATCCCTTATTCCTCCCTATTTACACCTCTTGAGAAACACTAGCACTGCTTTTTGGATCAACCCTGCACATGTGTCTGGGTGATGCCCAACCTGAGTGACTAAATGACACAGCCACCCCTCGCTTGTGTAACAATTTTGCTTCTCAGATCTACACAGAGATGCCTTTATTTATCTCTTGTCAGATTGACTTACTGCCATGTTGCCTCTGGGCTCAGCAGGCCAGCATTCTTCCCATTTGTAGAGGATCTGTCTTCCCTCACCCCATGCCAGACCGGCTTTGAATGTTGTTCCTCACATTAACCACACACTATGGGAGATGAATTGCCATTACGAACTGCTGTTTCTCATTTATTCTTTAAACAAGGCTTTAGCTATGCTGGCTATAATGTTTTTAAATGTATTCATGTTCCTGATGACATTAATCTGCTTGGGAAATAGCTTAGATTGAAAATGAATGAATGCTAATGAAGCAAAATATTTGTGCAGTCTCTTCTAAACTATGTGTTATGACGTATATTCTCCCTCTCTCATTTAATGTTTAAGTCGATATTTTTGCTTGCTCTACCTTAGAAAATAAGTCTGTATATTCCTCATTTGTTATCTCCCTGCTTACCTATTTCCTGCTAACTCCACCTTCACCTGTGAAGGTAAAACAAGCCTGTGTACCCCCAAATTTCACCATGACTTGCAATCAGCAACATACAAATGTACTATGCCATTCATGTATAATTATCCCAGTGCCTACATGGTCCCCATTGTTATAGTATCTGAGCACCTCACATGCATTAATAAATTGATTGTCACAGCACCTGTGAGATAGGGACGTGCTATTGTACAGGAAGATTTTGGCAAATCAGTAAAGTGCCTGGATCACTATTGCTTATTGCTAACAGTAGCCAAGTCAGCAGGCCGCACTGAACCACTATTGCTTATTAGTGAAAGTAGCCAAGTCAGCAGGTGGTAAATTGGCCATGCAGTGGTCCTAGCTTAACCAAGGTAGGAGGAGAGGGGGTTTTGGGTGCCACAGACAGGGCAGCTTGACCCCGCGTCCTTCCTGCTAAGAATGTTGAAATTGCTGATACATGTATTTTAGAAAAAAAGGAAGCTCATCTATATGTGCCATCAGGAATGTGTTTGTCAAGGCCCCAAGGCATGAACACTCTGAAAAAACCCACAGCTGGTTAATTGATGACCAGAAGGAAACCTCTTACTTGTCCTTTAGAAACTGCTTCTTTAGCAAGTTTTCTTTAAGTGATAGGTCATTGTATTACTAATGTATAAATAAGGGGAAAAAGTTTGAGGTAGTGGACTCCTCAGGAGGGGCTCTTCAGGGACTCTCCCTCTGGACACATCTTGCAGTCCCCACCGGCAGACGGAAGTTTGGCCAACGGAAGACTGTCCCTGTGCCACTCGAGAGTCACACTCAGCTTCGGTAATTATCGAGGGTTGGGGGTGTTTTACTAACCTGTTGTGGACGTGTGTAAGTGCTTGAGACTAAGTAAAGTTTAGCTTTAAGTGAAAGCACTCTTGTATTGTCCTGTTTGTGCCAGCCATCTATCGGTCAGACGGCCGTGTCTCCCCTGATTTATTTCCTGACACCACCTCGCACAGAGTAAAAGTTACCAAGAGCTTTGGGTAACATTATCACCCCATTTTACAGAGAAACGGCTCAGCTAAGGTCACACAGTGCTTATGGCATTGGCTGGAACTAAAATGAGATCTCCTGAGTCACAGACTAATGCCTAAATCACAAGACAATCCTTCCTCCACATTTTAGCCTGTGCAGCTGTAATGACCATAGTCTGGGTCATCATCAGAACTTGAGCCCAGGCCAGTCAGCACAGATCTCTACCACATGGCAGAAAACACTTGGCTGAAGCAGGAGCAGAAAAGACATTGTACCTCCCCAAAGCAAACAGTGTTATCACACTTCACGCATCAGTGACCTAGGCAGAGGGGCCAATATGAAAGTGGCCCACCTGTTTTTAACATTACAGTGGATTATCACTGAAAGGCTTTCAGGAAGGTGCACAGTTTTAAGGAGGGATCTGAAGGAAGTGAAGGAGGCAAACACACACACTAGGAGCTGAAAGGAATTCCAAGCAATAAGGACTATGTTATGGGAAGAGAAATGGAGAGAAGTTTCCCATTTCAGTTGCTGCTGCATTGGCAGATAAAGGCTGAGGGTGTGACTGCACTTATCTTTGTTCTTCAGCACAGTCTCACAAGGGAGGCAGTGTTGTCCAGTGGTTAAAGCTCAAGACTAGGCATCAGGAGGCCTGGGTTCTAATTTGAGTTCTGACTTCCTGGGTTATCTTGGGTAAACCATTTCACCTCTGTCTATGCTTCCATATTTGTAAGTTGGGGATGATACTTAAGGTTAGTCAATTACAGCCAGATTCCGATACCTTTACTCCACAAAACCTTTACACTGAAGTCAACAGAACTCCTTGTGGAGTAAGGGGCTACTGAAAATGTGTAACATCGTCAGAATTTGGCCCTTAGTATTTGTGAAATGATCTATGATCTTCAAATGGAAGGGAGCATATAATAGCTTATTACTCTGGAGGTATACCTGAAGATCTGGTTCATAGAGGTTAAGGGCCAGATATTTCAATGTATTGGATTCCAGTGGGTGTTAGGTACGTATATACTTGTGAATCCCACCCTAGATGCATATCTGCATCTATAGGCACCTAAATACCTTTATGAATCTAGCCGTAGGTGATTTGTTCAAGCCCGGAGAGGTCATCGATGGCCAAGTTGGTAACAGAACTCAGGAACACCTGGTTCTCAGTCCTGCTCATGGACAGTACATCTGTTTCCCACAAGCAGCAGAAGGTGCCAGAGTCAATGTGAGGTGAGTTGAATTAAAAACAATCCTGATTATCAGCATTTAAAGTCTGTCCATCGACAATAGTCTCTTTTCCAACATTATTTGCAGTATTGTTGAAGCCGTGTTGGTCCCAGAACATTACAGTGATAAGATGGGTGAGGTAATATATTTTATTGTACCAAGGCTGGTCCAGTAAAAGATATTACCTCACCGCCTCTTGTCTCTTTTCCAAAGAGTCATTCATCCAATAGAGCAACAACTTCCCACTCCAGAATTAATCTTGCTATTACATGCATGTTTGGGTAACCGAACAAAAACTGCTTTTCCCCTGGATCCAAAGTCAACAAGTGGAGCAGGAGGATGGAGGATTGCTGCACTTGTACCTTCAGCAGAGAGAAAGATGAAGCAACATGGCTTAGCACAATAACCTGCTGATGGATACATTCAACAAAACAATAGGTTTCTAAATAATGTTTACCTTCAGCCCCAGAGGTAGCTGCTCTCTGGGGCTGAAGTTTAAGGCTGCATCATTAAGATAAAATAAACCCAGCTGCTGCCTCTCAAATCCATTTTCTTCCTTAATGTTTTAAGGCTGAGGGGAGCAGATACCTTCCAAGAAGCTGCTGCCTTCTCTGAAGCTGACATAATGCAAGCAGGACCCAAGAGACCACACAACGACAAAGGCTGTTGCTGGGAAAGGCAGAAATAAATGACAGGTCATGTAGAGTGAGCAGGAGGCAGCAAGAAGAAAGATTTAATTTAAGATGATCAAAAAAGCCAATAATTTTTCATGGGTTTTAGTTTTAATTGTGTCGAACACCCTCCTTCCCTCCCCACCACCACCACTCTTGTAAATATTTTTCATTTTTCAACAAAAAACCTAAATCCAAGACTCCAGGTTTGTTTGTTTTCACAAGCCAGTTTGGGGAATATATTTAATTAGTTAGGCATGACACTTTTTCCAATAAATAAATAAATAAATAAATAAATTGGGGTGTTTTGAAATGTTCAAGTTTTTCTGTTGGAAAAACTGGAAAATTTCAACCAAATGAAAATGGTCTTTTTTGGACAAAGAACTGACTGAGCCACATCACCCCCCTTTTGAAGGGAGAGAGAAAGAAGAGGGACATATACCCTGGAGGTTCTCAATCTATGGTTTATGGAGACCTGAGAGGGAGACAAAGTAGTGCTTGGACTATGCCTGGAAGATGCACCGAATAAAACTATTCCTACTAGCTACTCCAAACATCAGTGATCAAACAAATGGTGAAAGTGTTCTGCAATAATCAGTCTTGTGCTGCTGGAAAGATGATGAGGATTTCTACAGAGAGGAGGAAGAAGGCTTGCCAGATCCTCTGCAAAGCTGAGAAGAAGGGCATCAATTTCATTCCATGACACGTTTTGGCAGCGAAGAAGTCAGTGCTAAAAAAAACGCTGCTTTAACAAAAAATTATCCTGCTCTACCATCTATGGGGGCAGGAGGATTCCAAAAATATGTAACAGATAGGGTGACCAGACAGCAAATGTGAAAAATTGGGACGGGGTGGGGGGTAATAGGCACCTATATAAGACAACCCCCCCAAAATCGGGACTGTCCCTATAAAATCAGGACATCTGGTTACCCTAGTAACAGATAAAGAAACCCATCCACTGACTGAAGCCTGCTTTGCTATTTCTCTGGAGAAATGCAAAGATTCTTTCAGACTCTCCTTTGGAACAAGTATTTCCTGACTCAGACCCTGATCACTATAAATAAATTTGAACTGATGACACACAGGCACTAATCCTTTATTGCTGATCTTGCTGTGTCAATTACAGCCCCTACAGAGTATTCAGATCCATCAGTATGGCACCTTCCAGAAGCATGATACTCATGTCACAATTTCAGGGTTAGCTTCACCGCATGCCCTTCCTTGGCATCCTTGATGGCACCCACTTAAGGTTTCATGCCTCCTAGCTATCGCCTCTCTTGGGAAGAAACTCACATCTCTCTCCCTCCAGAGCAGCAGTTTAGGATTTGATTCCCTCTGCACCTCACTGTGACTTCCTCAACAGGTCTGACTTGGTGCCGGCACCTGTGGTTTGCGCTTTCTCCAGGGGCTAAAACAGTGTATAACAGTTATCAACCAGCCTCCGAAAACCAAAGTACATTCATTCTTAGGGCAAAAGCATCACACAGAAAACATACACAAGACAATAAATGGTCCTATATGCATATTAAGGTAACCCCAACTCGAAATAGGGTTCTGGTAGATGTCAGTCTTACAAACTCCTCAACTGGGTTTGCTCTCTTAGTTAGGCTACGTCTTCACTACCCGCCTGAATCGGCGGGTAGAAATGGATCTCTCGTGGATCGAGTTATCGCGTCTCGTTGGGACGCGACAATCGATCCCTGAATCGATGCTTGTACTCCACCAGCACAGGTAGGAGTAAGCGCCATCGATGGGGGAGCCGTGGAGGTCGATTTGCTGCCGTCCTCACAGCGGGGTAAGTCGGCTCGGATAAGTCGAATTCAGCTACGCTATTCGCGTAGCTGAATTTGCGTATCTTAAATCAACCCTCCCCACCCCCCCGTAGTGAAGACGAAGCCTTAGAAGTTCCTGTTCTTGATCTGAAATCAGACAAGAACCACCTTGGGATAGCTAATAAATTCTAAGGCCAGATCATCTTATCTGACCACACTGTATAACACAGGCCATAGAACTCCCCCAAAATAATGCCTAGAGCATAGTGTTTTAGAAAGACATCCAATCTTCACTTAAAAGTTGTCAGTGATGGAGAATCCACCACAACCCTTGGTAAATTGCTCCAATGGTTCATTACTCACCGTTAAAAATGTCTGCCTTATTTCCAGTTTGAATTTGTCTAGCTTCAGCTTCCAGCCATTGGACCGTGTTATAACTTTTTTTGCTTGACTGAAAAGCCCATTATTAAATATTTGTTCCCCATGTAGGTACTTATAGACTGAACAAGTTACCCTTTAATCTTCTCTTTGTTAAACTAAATAGGTTGAGCTTCTTGAGTCTATTTAGCTTAACAAAGAAGGTTAAGGGGTTGACTTCATTACAGTCTATACATACATATCTATGTGGGGAAGCTATTTCCGTATATGGTTCAGGACCTTGATCTTTGGCCTCCTATAACAGATAACACCAGTAAATGTCCCTCTCCTCAGAGGGTGAAGTTTCAACCTCTGGGTTTTTGCCTAATCAGTGTTGGGGAATTTGCATTAACCACCACTCAGAGATTCCCCAGGAAACCAGTTCAATAAGACAGGACACCCAAAACACATTTAAAATGTATTGTCCCAATAGTCCATGCCTGCCTGGCACCTTTCAATATAATAATCTTTTGAAGACCTCATGATTCCCAGGTCTCACCTCTGTCACAGCATGCACATGCACACTCGCATCCTTCATTGGATTGTCACTGGGTATGGATAAACCAGCTGAAAAAAAACACTCTGGCCTACATAGAAGGGATAATTTTTTTTGAGATCTGCTTGGAGACACCTTAAGGATCTGGTTTTCAGACGTTGCTGAGCACCCACCTAAAAAGGAGTCCTTTCGAAAATGTCTCAGACTTGACACCCAATAATCACTAGTGACTTTTGAAAATTTACATCTTCCACTTCACTCAAAATCTTATTGTTTTTATGAAGTCCAACTATACTTCAAATACTTCAGGTTCATTACATTGTGAGTAGGGCTGTCAATCAATCAGTTAACAAGTGATTAACTCAAAACAAATTAACTCGATTAAAAAATTAATTGTGATTAATCACAGGTTTAATCACGTTGTTAAATTTCAATTGGTATTCTATTGTTTATTATAAATATTTTTGGATGTTTTTCTTCATTTTCAAATATGTTGATTTCAATTACAGCAGAGAATACAAAGTGTACAGGGCTCACTTTACATATTTTTTATTACAAATATTTGCACTGTAAAAGATAAAGTAATAGTATTTGTCAGTTCACCTCATACAAGTACTGTAATGAAATCTCTTTATTATGAAAGTGCAACTTACAAATGTAGATTTTTTTTGTTACATAACTGCACTCAAAACAATATAAAACTTTAGAGCCTACAAGTCCACTCAGTCCTACTTCTTGTTCAGCCAATTGCTAAGACAAACAAGTTTGTCTACATTTATGGGAGATAATGCTTCCTGCTCCTTATTTACAACGTAATCTGAAAGTGAAAACAAGTGTTCACGTGGCACTGTTGTAGCCAGCATTGCAAAGTATTTACATGCCAGATAGTCTAAAAGTTCGTATGTCGCTTCATGTTTCAGCCACCATTCCAGAGGACATGTTTCCATGCTGATGATGCTCATTAAAAAAAATAATGTGTTAATTACATTTTTGACTAAACTCCTTAGGGTAGAGTTGTATGTCTCCTGCTCCATGGTTCTACCCATATTCTGCCACATATTTTGTGTTATGGCAGTCTCAGATGATGACCAAGCACATGTTGTTCAATTTAAGAACACTTTCACAGAAGATTTGATAAAATGCAAAGAAGGTACCAATATGAGATTTTTAAAGATAGCTACAGCCCTCGACCCAAGGTTTAAGAATCTGAATTGCCTTCCAAAATCTGAGAAGAATGAGGTCTGGAACATGCTGTCAGAAATCTTAAAAAAGCAACACTGCTATGCAGATACTACAAAACCCAAACCACCAAAAAATGAAATCAACCTTCAGTTGGTGGCATCCAACTCAGATGATGAAAATGAACATGTGTCAGTCTGTACTGCTTTGGATTGTTATCGAACAGAACCCATCATCAGTATAGAAGTATGTCCTCTGGAATGATGATCAAAGCATAAAGGACATACAAATGTTTAGCATACCTGGCATATAAATACCTTGCAAGGCTGGCTACAACAGCGCAACGTGAACACCTGTTCTCACTTTCAGGTGACATTGTAAATAAGGAGCAGGAAGCATTATCTCCTATAAATGTAGACAAACTTGTTTGTCTTACTGATTGGCTGAACAAGAAGTAGAACCGAGTGGACTAGTAGGCTCTAAGTTTTACACTGCCCTCAAAAATAAAAGTTATGTAAAAAAATAATTCTCCATTTGTAAGTTGCATTTTCATGATAAAGAGAGTACAGTACTTGTATGAGGTGAATTTAAAATTATTTTTTCTCTTTTACAGTGCAAATATTTGTAATAAAAATAATATAAAGTGAACACTGTACACTTTGTATTCTGTGTTGTAATTGAAATCAATATATTTGAAAATGGAAAAAACATCAAAAATATTAGAATACCATTTATTTAATTACTGTTTAACAGTGCAATTAAAACTGCTATTAATTTTTATCTCACAATTAATCACAATTATTGTTAATCATTTAACAGCCCTAATTGTGAGCTCCAGTAACAGTGGTTATGAGCATATACCATTGCTTTTCCCTCAACCTTTGCCCCAGAGTAATCATAGCATTCATTTATTATCCAATATCTCATTCATATATATACACACGCAAACACTAGATACTGCATTAAAGGGAAGAGACGTAATGCAGTGATTTAAAAAGGGCTCTTCCATCTCTCACTGCTATGATCTAGTCACCAGTTTTCCACAGAATTAACCATGAAATACAAATATCCCCCCAAAAATAATAAATCCTACAACCATAGGTGCCGACTTCCTCTGTTCCTGGGAGGTGCTTGACCCCCCCACTCTGCCCCAGGCCCTACCCTCACCCCACCCCTTCCTGTTCCTGCCCCTGTTCCTCCCCCTCTCCCCCAGCACCTCCTGAATGCTACTGAACAGCTGACCGTGGCAGGTGGGAGGCGCTGGAGGGGAGGGAGAGGTGCTAATCCACAAGACTTACAGTGGGTGCCGAACACCCATTATTTTTTTCCATGAATGTTCCAGTCCTGGAGCACCCACAGAGTCAGTGCCTATGCCTACAACCATGTCATGGTAATAATTTCTAATGAATCAAGATTAGTGTACAACAAGTGAAGGATTTCTATGGAATCTACTCTTAGCACATGAGAGAAAACCACAATGAGACGGCCATTCATTTCTGAGTCAGAGTTTCTATACAATTGGCTGGAAAGTTAAAGACGATTCTTAATCTGACACCAATACATGGGAAGCCAATCTATAAATTCTGATTAAGTACAAAAAAGGACCTATTAACACCCTTACTCTAACACATGGACCTAGCTTCCACTGGCTCAGTAGGAATTGGGGGGAAGGAAAGAACAGAATCTCTAACAGTACAGTTCCTACTACAAATACTATTTGTATACAGCTGATTGCTACAGTAGTTGACATGAAGCAACTCTCCTAGAAAGTTAACTATCCTACAAACAACAGCACACACTGGAATAAATTAGAAAACTTGCCATTTAGAACCTGTTTTATCATCCAGTCCATTTCCCAAACTGAGTTATTATAGTCTCAGATCATTTTCTCTCTTATTGCAAGCTACAATCAGATTAGGGACTCAGAGAGCTGTTTCTCCAGTGATATGTGGGGGAGTTAAACAAATGGGAGTTGCACAAGTAAATTTTCTTGTGAACAAATGGGAAAATAGCTCCCTTTTGATTTTTCCCTACACTGTAAGCATCTCCCCCTCCCCCCACTGATTTATTCTATTCCAGATAATTATGTTTTCAAAGTAATCTCAGTAAAGAATAATTTTGCCAAAATTTCATACTTTGGGAATCCATTATTGACTGCGAGTCCATAAAACCATCATTAAACTAAGTTAATTATAATAAGCATTTTTAGCAGTATGTAAACTGGGACAAGTTATTTCATACTTAAAAACAAAAAGTCTTGAATTATTGTTTGGACTCCAGTTCAGGAACCATTTTTCATAGATAGAGACACTTTCATTCACGTTAGAAAAAACAAGAGTATTAGTGTCAGGAACAAGTTCTCATTAGCCTTATATACAATCGTATATTCTATGTTCACCCCTTTTCCAAGACTATGTTAAATGTTACAAAGCATACTGTGTAAGATATCATTTGAAAACTCATGATTTTCTGATCATTATTGTCCTGGTAAAATATGTGTGGCAACATTGTATGTAAAGTTATAAGATTCCACCGTATAATATTACCAAGACATGTTCTGAAGGGCAGTCACAAACAAGTTCTGAAGAGACAAAAGGCTAGCCTCAGCCAGGTGTCAACAGAATCAAAGGGACCAGCAGCCAATTCACCTGCCAAAGATTGGCCACTTAAAGGGTGTGAGGAAAAGATCTACATTTTGACAAAGAAACAGCTTAAAGTTCCTGGCCACACCAACTGTGTCTCTTGAACATCAGCTGCATATCATTCTTGTGTAAGAGAAAGTGAAATAAGAGGAGAGGGCGGATGCCCCAAATCATCTCTCCCTTATTTTCTACCCAGGGCAACATCAACCCCTGAAGAACAAGGGAAGAAACAGA